GAAAGAAAGAAAGAAAGAAAGAAAGAAAGAAAGAAAGAAAGAAAGAAGAAAGAAAGAAAGAGAGAAAGAGAGAAAGAGAGAAAGAGAGAAAGAGAGAGAGAAAGAGAGAGAGAGAGAGAGAGAGAGAGAGAGAGAAAGAGAAAGAGAAACAGAGAGAGAGAGAGAGAGAGAGAGAGAGAAAGAGAAACAGAGAGAAAGATATAGAGAGAGAAAGAGAGAGAGAGAGAGAAAAACCCATGGACTCTGCAGCCTTAACCCCCGGTGCCCTTTGTTGGGTTGGCAATCCGGCTCCCCTTGCCAGCAGATGCTCGGACTCCGCGGGCAAAGCTCCTCACCTCCATCTTGGTCTGGATCCAGGGCCCCACGATGTTGGCCTGGCTGGCGAACTGTCGGCGCAAACGTTCATTCGACTGCTGTTTGCTCTGCTCATCCTGAAGGGCGCTGTCCCTCTTGGGTACCAATTGCTGGACCTGTCGGGCCCAAAGGAAGAGAGCCGCTATGAGGACGCCGTTCCTGGGCTTTCCCCCCTCCCCAACAGAGGGAGACCTCGGGTGGCAGCCCAAGGCAGGAAGGCTCGGTCTTCAGCTCCGCCCACGGAAGGTGGATCCCGGGAAGCGCAAGCCACACCCACCCTTTCCCACTTGGCGTTGATGATCTGAGGCGTGACCGAAGTATACGGATTGTTCCCGGAGAGTTTGATGTTGTTGTAGTCTGCGATCTTCTGCGCTTCGCTCTGGATGCCCAAGATGGCCTCTCGTTCTCTGTCGGCGTCGGGCAGCGTGGATTTGAACTGATCGTGGGCAGCAATCAAGCCCTGGAAAGGAAGCACATTCCCAGTCGATGGGCTACATCGGATCGTTTCAGCCCCAGCTCCATGTCCAGAAAAGACACGAAGAGGTGAGGGGGCCTCCTGGTTTATCCCTGCTGCCATCAGGAAGTAGTAATTTGTCTTGGTGGGAATCCAGATGTTTCCCAGAGCAAGTTGGGTTTCTTCCATTTGACAGAGTGTGAGGGAGAAATTCCCGCCCACCCCCTGAAGTTCTGGGACGGGACGGAAGCCAGCTAGAAAAACTTCCATCTGGAGTTTTCACTTATAAATAGCTGAAGGTTCTCCTGCTTATTTTTTTAAAAAATATTAAAAGTCTAGCACAATTACAGAAATGTCACCTCTTTGAAGCTTCTACTTAGCACTTTCCGGTTCTGTAATCTTTTTGCTTTTCAAGAAAAACATACTTGGGACTTTAAAGATTTTATATCCAGTACATACTGTATTTTTCAGAGCATAAGACGCACCCCTCCCGCCAAACACAAAAGAGGCTGAAAATTTGGGTGCGTCTTATACTCCAAATGTAGCTTTTTCGAAGCTGTTTTTCAGCCCTAATAGAGGCGCTAACGAGAGAAACATCTTCCGTGCTTTGCCTGCTTTTCTCATTGCTTCTCTCTCTGAGGATCAGCTGTGCTTTAGAAGCTGGTTTTTTAATCCCCAACTAGGGGATAAAAAGCATGCACACATGCACTCAAAACCAGCATGTGCTGAAGCTGATCAGGCTAAGAACAATAGCCAGACGAATACCTGGTAAGCAGAATTTTTTCCCCTATATTCCTCCACAAAAACTAAGGTGCGTCTTATACTCCGAAAAATATGGTATATATATATATATTTTAAAAAACCACCATTATCCAGTATATGTATTTATTTTAAAAAAGCAGCCTTTCTCCAGCACCCTTTTAACCACATAACGTAAGTGTGTAACACGCTCTGATTTTAACACATCATTTTTCACCTTTTGCATGTTCTCCCTCAAAACCAGCCCCGTCGGAGGCAAATTATAGCAGATTTCTTTTTAATTTTAAGAAAGTAGGCTGGGAATTCATTGCGTCATGCCTGCTGTTCCGCTTACTCGCTTCAGCATCGCAATCTTGCCAGCCTGACAATGGTGGTGGGAGGTGGGGGGGGGGGGGGAGAGATTGAAATGTAGGTGGTGGGATTGAAGCGGAGCCGGCCCTGACTTTAAGGAGCACCCATCAAACACAAAGACTCGGCAAAGGGAAGGAGGAGATGGAGAAGGCTCGAACACGGGACCCGTTTCCAAAACAGCCGGATAACTTTTAATTGGGCGTTGACTGATAATGCGGGCGTTTTCCCGCTAAGCAAAATGGATTCTGCCTGATCTAATCTGTAACCACTTTGGTTCTTGGTGAAGCCTTATAAATACTCTTGGAAAAAAAATAAATGAGCCAGGAGTCTTTCTTTGCTAATTAAAACTAAGTGGGATGGATGATGACACAATTGGATTAGACAGCAGACGTGTTGGCTAATCTCCCTTAAGCGCCGCTCATCTCTCTCAGCTGAAGCGCCAGGTAGATACTTCCAGATCCTCGCACCATAGAGAGGGTAAGGAAACTCATTGAACCACCCCGTACCTCTATCTCCTCTATGGTATGGACGATGAACATATCCTGGAGGTCCTCCATTGCACTTTCCATCCAGTTGTTGAAGGGCGCGGCTCGCTTGGCGTATTCCAGATGGAGCTGGTCGATGGTCTCCAACTGCTTCTCCGTTTTCTTAGGAGAGAGAAATGGGCAAAAGGGATTAGGTCTCCCGACACCGCGCTCAATGGATCGATCGATCGCCTCCTCCCCCGCGGCGGGCCAGGCTTCTGCTCACCTCCAGCGCTTCCCTCCGCGTGTGGGTCAAGGACCCTAGGGAGTCCCACTGGTCACAGATCTTTTGGCACCGGGCGTTGACACTGGGGGAGTCGTAATAATCCAGCTCGCTGTGGGGCAGAGAAAAGGGAGGGCATTGGTGGGTGGGCAGGTAACCAGGAAAAGGGTTCTCTTCTGGGGCCCTAATCGCCTCTCTACAAGGTCACCTGTTGCGGGGCTGTCAGCCCCTCCACAACCCGAGAGCTCGGAGGTGGAAAAGGGATAGAGCTGGCCGGGGGGGGTGGGGGTGAGAGAGAGCCTGGGCCATCCATCAGCTCTCAGATGGAGAGTCAACAGCCCCCAGATCTGGAGGTGGCGGATGAGAAAAGAGGAGGAACAACTGAGTCCAGTGCCTGACATGCGGATGCACAGAAGGCAGAGGAGAGGAGAGCAGTGGAAATCTATGGGCCGGTCCTTCGGACGGAAGAGCCACCGATGCTAGCGAAGCCCCACATACACATGGGATGGGGTGGGGGGAAGAGTGTGTGTGTGTGTGTGTTCGTGTGTGTGAGACAGAGAGAGGTGATAGAAAGGTAGAAGGAAGATAGGTATGTATGTAGGTAGGCAGGCAGGCAGATAGAGATAGCCTGCCAGTCTGCTTCTATCTATCTATCTATCTATCTATCTATCTATCTATCTATCTATCTATCTATCTATCTATCTATCTATCTA